AGTTCTGGTTTTAGTTCTGGTTTAGAGGCGCACGGGAAGAGGCCCGGTCCATGCGCTGTACGGGAGCAGGAAGAGCTGCATTCGGTCTATGGATCCACGTAGCCTATGCGAGAAGGGGTAACGCCAAGGTGAGGGGCCTCTATTGGAGCATGGGGCCCTACTCCATGTACGTACTGGGTGAACTGGTACTGACACTGTATCATGCAGTGTGACAGCCTGGGGCCATGTGAAAAAATCCAGGATAACCAACGGGTTTGGAAAGGCTGGACTGCTGCGTGATGAAGAGCACAGCACACGAGAGAGGGACAATCTGCCTGGAGACGAAAGTGACACGGGAACTGACGTAAATGAGTGAAATGACTGTTGGAAAAAGAACCTGCACACGTACGACCTGCACATGTTTGATCTCTGTAAAGTTTAACATGAACCATCTCCAGAACAGACTCACCACTGTCCGACAGAAGCTCCGCATCAGGCACAGAGCGAACTGTTTTTTCCGGTGGGTATTTTACAAAGATTAGTCTTGTGGCGTTAGGTTTGTTTTTGTGCGTAAAGCTGCAATAAATACATTATCATCTCAAATGGGCTGATGTCGTTCTGTAGTACTTATGGTGCTTACGAGGGCCAAATGTTTACATTTGAACCACTTTGAAATCACTTTTTACCATTATCTTACTCGAGGCTGTACTTGAATTGCTGAATAGACAGATCAACTAGTATAACCTCTAGCTATACATCGCACAAGCTAAATAAACTGTCCATGATGCTGTGTTGCTTCAACTTAATTACCCAAACAGTAATGGTCAAACAGGCATTGTAAATATATTTTGTAGCAACACTGACTTACTTTTTACCTTACTTTACCCTACCCTTTAAATTGTATTTCTGTGGATTCTCAAATCCAGCTTCCCGCACTTTTCACAGGAAACGACGTAAGTAAACGCATCACTGTTCCCTTTTTTTCTTGAGATGGGTGTAAATAGAAGAATAGTGTCCACTGAACTATTAACACCCAGGGTGCAAATAGACACTCCGTAAAAAAAAAATAAATAAAAAAAAAAATCACTGTCAGTACAAACATAAAGGCACCAGCCCAGTGAAAATCAGTAATATCTAATGTTTTTTTTTTACTCAAAATGATGCGGAATCATCGATCAATCAATTGCAGTCTCCGCCTAATGGTTTAATAAACTGTCCATGATGCTGTGACGCTTTCAACTTAATTACCCAAATAGTAATGGTCGAACAGGCATTGCAAATATATTTTGTAGCAACATTGACTTACCTTTTACCTTACCTTAACTTTGTTTTGAATTTTATTTCTTTGGATTCTCAAATCCATCTTCCTGCACTTTTCACAGAAAACGACGTAAGCAGACGCGTCACCATTCCCTTTTTTCTTGAGATGGGTGTAAATAGAAGAATCATGTCTATTGAATTATTAACACTCAGGGTGCAAATAGACGCTCAGTAAGAATTTTTAAACTTCAAACCAGTACGGACGATCAGTTTTTCATGTTTATGTTTACTGTTGATAAAACCAACCAGATAAACCAGTCCCGAGTAGTCAGGTGTCATACCAGGGAGACAAAAACACTTTTCACTTTCATAATGTCAACTTAAAAGACCCCTATTATGCTATTTTATGATGTTATAATTAGTGCTGTCATGCGATTAAAAAAATTTAGAGATTAATTAATTATGATCTGTAATTAATTAATCTAATTAATCTCATTTTAATCTCACCTAAAAATTGCTGAGAAAAGCCTTCAATTTGAGGTATTTTCATTTAAATTCATTATTACATTATTGTGGCAGATCAAAAGACTGATATAGATTTTAAAAAGTGACTTTATAAAGTCATTTATTGTTTAACAAATCTCTCCAATTTGGCTGTTGAGCCCAAGTCTCCATGAATAAGAAACTGTTTGTTGTAAAGTAGCAAAGACGAGGAAATCTGAACATAATAACTTTTGTCGACTTAAAGACAATAAAAAGTCCAGTCTTTCCTGAACCATATTAAAAATATTATTGATAGAGAAATGCTTTATATATGAGATCACTGGTTTTAGTCCTGGTTTAGACCTGGTTTAGACCTACTTTTAGTCCTAGTTTAGTCCTGGAATGGATTAATCCTGGTTTTAGTCCTGGTGTTAGTTCTGGTTTAGTCCTGGTTTAGACCTGGTTTAGTCCTGGTGTTAGTCCTGGTGTTAGTCCTGGTTTAGACCTGGTTTAGTCCTGGTGTTAGTCCTGGTGTTAGTCCTGGTTTAGTCCTGGTTTAGACCTGGTTTAGACCTGGTTTAGACCTGGTTTAGTCCTGGTTTAGACCTGGTTTAGACCTGGTTTAGACCTGGTTTAGTCCTGGTTTATACCTGGTTTTAGTTCTGGTTTTAGTTCTGGTTTAGTCCTGGTTTAGACCTGGTTTTAGTTCTGGTTTTAGTTCTGGTTTAGTCCTGGTTTAGTCCTGGTTTAGACCTGGTTTAGTCCTGGTTTTAGTCTTGGTGTTAGTTCTGGTTTAGAGGCGCACAGGAGGAAGTGCGGTTTACGCAGCGTACGCGAGAAAACACGATCCACACGCGGCTCACGGGAGCACGTCGGTGTCCACGCAGTAACTACGGAAGGAAACGTGGTCCGCACGCGTTCTCAGGTTAATGACGATGATGAATGTGTGTGTGTGTTGTGTGTGTGTTTGTGTTTGTGTGTGTGTGTGTGTGTTTGTGTGCGTGTCCCCTCATGTGGCAGGTCACTATAGGACAGTAGTGCAGACATCATGAGCCTATGCAGGTTGTTTTCAGGCGATATTATATTTGTTATTTTCTTTTATATTTCACGTCGGGAGAATAATTTCCAAGACACGAATGTGTTTTTACCTGTGCACTGCTGCCTCTGTTCTACTGGCTCTTCCACCTCGTCCATTGTGCCTGACGCCGCCAACGTTAACATGACGTTTACTTACGCTGTTACTACTGCGCGCGTTTTGTGTGGGTTTCCGGCAATGAGTGGAATTACCGAAATAAAAAAATGTATAAATGTGTTTTGTGTGTGTGTGTGTTGTTGTCCCAACAACACATAAAAACAGGTTTTATAATAAAGAAACTCACATACAGAAACACTAAAGTTAGAGATAAAAAATGAGATTAACGCGATTAAAAAACATAACGCGCTAAATATGACTGTAATTAATTAATCGCAATTAACGCGATAATTTGACACCCCTAGTTATAATGTTGTTACGTTCTCAAAAACCTAACCTTGTGATGTCATGTGGTAATACAGGAAGCGCTCTATTGTGTTTTTAAACCCGTACACATACAACTTCAATAGAATCATTTGGATACTTACCAATCTCTGCAGCTGGGTCCAGTCAAGTGGTAACGGAGGGAAACAGGGGCAGATTTTTGACATTCAAATGTCTCTTATTCAGAAACTAGAGGGACTATTGAAATAAGTAAAGTATCAGAATGTAGGAAAGAGTTACACTCCAACAGGGTAAAGTTAAACCTGTGATATTCTTTCAAGTTGTTGACAAAAAATTTAAAAACTCATGTCGGTAACGGAGGGAATGAAATATGCAGCACTTTTTGGTCAATAAATCCAAACAGTGATAACTCTTGGTTCTCACTTACATATCCTTAACAAACTGGTTTGAATATTTGCTTCATATAGTTTTCTACCATATGGTACAAGATTAGGTTGAAAAACCTCTTACTTTTTGACTCATGAGATTTTTTATTAAGAAAGGTCATGGTAACGGAGGGAAAAGTAACGGAGGGAAAATTGTGCAAACAATTTTACATAATTTGTCAACTTTTTTCTTCTGAATACTTTAATATTACTTCAAAATGAAAGGAAACTATTTCTATAAAATATGTCAGTCCTTCCAAGCAAATTTTTATCATTTTAAATACTTTTTTTTTTTTAAATCATGTACCTTCATCAACAGTTCAAAGATGGAATAACACAAGATATGATGAAATACATCCATTTATTTACATGATTTGCAGGTCTTTGAAATTTGGGAAATAATTTTTGTTCCATGTTTCATACATGGTCTGTTTAAAACGTATGGAACTTTAGAACCAAAAATGGTACAGAATAAAGGTGAACCGTTTCATAAACTAGAGTACATATGTATCTGTTCAATACATTTTTATATCAGATGAATTAACTTGAATTTTTGGCCTTGATGTTTACTTCTGCTGGACCGGGCCATTGTTAAAGGGACAGTTCGGATTTTGGACATAGGGCCTCATTTCCTCGTGAGCCAGAGTGTTGGAGACGTGTGGAGACACTTTTTAAAAATATTCCATCCAGTCCTTTTTTTTTTATTTATTTTTTTTTATTTTAAAAACAACAACAACAACAAAAAAAAAACAACAACTATAATATCAGACCATAAGGTGAGTGGAAACGGTTAACATTTCATATTTACTACTACTTGAACACATGGAGGTGGCGTAAAGTAATGGAAAATTCACTTTAGGTCATGAAAAAATCATGGAAAAGTTTTGGGATTTTGTTAGTGAAAAAGAGTGGAAATCCTGAATAAAAAAAAAAAAATAAATAAATAAATAAATTAATTAATAATAATAATAATAATAATAATAATAATAATAATAATAATAATACATAAAAACTTCAAAACTGCGCTTTTTATTAAATTTAGTTCATTTTAGTTCATTTTGGGTGTTTGTATTATTCTGAAAAGTAGAGATGTAATCAATCGAAATATCGTGATATCGTATCGTCAAAGTTCTCACAATAATATCATGGACCATCACAATCACAATCTATCGAATTACAAGTCTCTTTGATTAAATGAAGAGTTTGGAATTTTGTCAGTGAGAAAGAGTGGAAATCCTGAATAAAAAAATATAAAATATATAATAATAATAATAAAAAAAAAAAAAAAAAAAAAATAATAATAATAATAATAATAAAAATAGAAAAACTTCAAAACTGCGCTTCCTCCGCACATGCGCAGTTCAGTTTCCGGTGAGTCCCAGAATGCTGCGCGCGCACTCGGCTCACGGATCATGGACCAAAGCGGTAAGACGCGCACAGGCCGCCGTCCAAATAACTCTCTTTTTAACCCACATTTCACCGGAATAAGTTAAGCATTTATCCGAACTAACCATCGCGACTCACCCGGGCGTCACATCACCGCGCCGAATGCTTTTGTTTGTTTCCCAGAGCGCTACGGAGCTACTTAGCACGCGCCGAGTTAGCATCACGCAGCGCTAACCTCGAGCGCTTTGAATTAAAAACACAAACTTGGCACGAATCTGTCTCTTTCTGCAGGGATCGTTTCAGCTGTGCGCGGGTTTACGATATAAACTGAGACATCTGTGGTTTATCTGTACTAGTGTATTTAGTAAACAAGTTGACGTATCCCGATGTGATGTTACAGAGCTCAGCTTTTGCACAGTCCGAGTGCGACTCAGTTATTATCAAAACATTCACAGGACTAAACCAGGACTAGATTAGGTCTAAACCAAGACTAAACCAGGACTATACTAAACCAAGACTAAACCAGGACTAAACTAAGACTAAACCAGGACTATATTAGGACTAAACTAAACCGGGACTAAACCGGGACTCTATTGGGTCTAAACCGGGACTCTATTGGGTCTAAACCAGGACTCTATTGGGTCTAAACCAGGACTCTATTGGGTCTAAACCAGGATTATATTGGGTCTAAACCAGGACTATATCAGGTCTAAACCAGGACAAAACTAAGACTAAACCAGGACTATATAAATCAGGACTATATTCGATCTAAATCAAGACTAAACTAAGACAAAACCAGGACTATATTGTGTCTAAACCAGGACTATATTGGTGTCTAAACCAGGACTATATTGGGTCTAAACCAGGACTATATTGGGTCTAAACCAGGACTATATTAGGTCTAAACCAAGACTAACCCAGGACTATACTAAAGACAAAACCAGGACTATATTAGGTCTAAACCAGGACTAAATCAGGATTATATTAGGTCTAAACCATGACTAAACTAAGACTAAAGCAGGACTGTATTAGGTCTAAACCAGGACTAAACTAAGACTAAACCAGGACTATATTAGGTCTAAACCAGGACTATATTAGGTCTAAACCTATAACCTTAACCTAAATTATTATATCCCTAATCATGAGCCTCCCCATCGTATCGTGAACTTTCCTACGACAATAAATATCGTACCGTGAGGTTCATACCGTGACTATATCATACTTGGGTACTCTTACACTTCTTCTGAAAAGCATCATTCAAATATGCGTCTTCACTGTGAGCGAGCTTGCATCCTCACAAACCTGACTCTTATTTCTCGTCCTTGTCTCCATGGAAATGTTGTTTCTGTGGCTCTAATCTTCATATCTTCCATGGAGAAGTCTGATTGCTATTTCCATGGTGGTGAAGTCTGGTGAAATCTCCAGAAAGATACGCGTCTCTGTGGTGTCAGTTTAAAGAAAAATACTGGTAGTTGGACAGTGTTACATTTAATTTATTGTTTTTAGGGATTGTGAAGTTTATTTGGTTACTCAGTATTGGTTCTTAAGGTCGAGAAGTTAGAGCTGGCATTCATAATCTCATTGCTTCTTATTTAAAGTTGCTCCATCTGCTCCGGGGAGGCCAATAACTTTCAAATATAAAAAATAAACCCTGTGTTGTTTTTTTGTTGTTGTTTTTTTCAGACAATGATCTCCAGGGCAGTGATGGCTCTGGGAGTTTGGGGGGGCCTGATGTCCGCAGACGGATCCCGATTAAACTCATCTCGAAGCCGCCGCTGAGAAGCAAACCTCCCCCCAGAGCTCCGAGGCCTGGAGGACGCGTGTGCAAGAGCGAAACAGGAGAGGAGGGTGAGTGTAAAAAAATATATAAAACCTGTGATGTGAGACCATAGACTGTAAAGTCCCTGGGTCTCCAACCTTTTTTCCACTATCTTTCCAAAACAAAAATGCCAGAGAGCTACTAATTTTTTTAATAGGCTCAAGAAATTGAGTAATTATAAGAACCGCAGCCTTAGATAGGAACATTTAGAGCCTATAAAACATAAACCATTATCCATTTATTAGAGCAGAAATAAAGTTAGGCATGAAAATTATACATTTACAATTTTAACTAGTGATGGGCGAATATCTGGGTTTCACGTGACGTCACAGGGCTACGTTTGTCAGCACGCAAAATCAGATGGAGGGCAGGAAGTGAACTGACTGGAGGAAAATGCCGATGTGTTGTGTAGTTTACGGCTGTGCCAATCGTTCTAACCGAGAGAAGGAAAAGCGATTTTTTTTTTTTTAGAGTATCGAATATAGTCGTCCACAAAGGTGAGAAATGGGAAAAGCCGACAGAACAACGCCGTAAAAAGTGGATTACAAACCTGTTTGCGGTCGGGAGGAGCAGAATTCGCTAATGCTCATGTCTGCAGTGAACACTTCGTCAAAGGTTTGTTACGAAGCTAAATTGTTTTTTGTGGTTTATCTAAACATAAACGAATCATTAACGACTAACGGCGAATGACGTTTGTTGACATTAAATAGTTCAGATAGAGGTCACTGCCGATACACTGCAGTTTTTCCCATAACGTCTATACACATAAAATAAGAGAAACACTCACCCCGGCGAAGACCAAATGATGATCATCATTTAGACATTTTGCACCAAGGTTGAGGACCCATCCACCTTCAAAAAAAGTTCTATGCCTCCAAACTTTTGTACTTTGCCTTCATCTATTGTCTGGTGTAGAACGATGTCTGAAGAGCTAAATAGTTCGTGATCTCCTCTGCCTCGATTGTCGGCAAATCTTTTACTTCGGTTGAAAATTCTCTCATTTTCAATAAGATCGGGGTCACTCCCAATATATTTGTCGACTAACTGCTCGTACTTTTGCCTTGCTCTTGGCTCTAAATCCTTACAATAAGAACTCTTCTCCATATCTGTGTTCTCCAGAGCCGTGTTTGTTTGTCGTGTTTGTCTTCACTTCCTGCCCTCCACCTGAAATTCGCGCATCATCGTGATCACGTGACTGAAACCCTCCTATGGAGCCTCGTAAAGCGTTGACACCTCAGTTGCAATATTGTCTCAAATAGTTCGACGTGTCTGAGGTGTTGGAGAAACACTGACCTCTAGTGGACAAATTTAACAATAAGACAATACTTGTGTGCAGAGCCTAACAACAACAATAATAATGATGATTTAAAATAATATGTAAAGAGCAACATAAATAACATGCTGTAAATAAGAAAATAGGTGCAGTGTTGGGAAGGTTACTTTAAAAATGTATTCCCCTACAGATTACATACCCCAAAATGTAGTTTGTAACATAATCCATTAAATTACTTAAAGTGAGTAATGTCATCTGAATACTTTGGATTACTTGATTTGATGTAGAGAAGCAAAGACGAGGAAATTTTTACATAAGATGTTTTGTCTGATAAAAGAAAATAAAAAGCCCAAACTTTACTGAACCAAATTAAAAATATTATTGATTAAAGAGGAGGAGACATGTCCACACAGTATGATTTAGTCTTGTTAAATCCTGTTTTAGTCCTGTTTTAGTCCTAGTTTAGTCCTGGTTTAGACCTGGTTTTAGTCCTGGTTTAGACCTGGTTTTAGTCCTGGTTTAGATCTGGTTTTAGACCTGGTTTAGTCCTGGTTTTGTCCTGGTTTAGACCTGGTTTGGATCTAGTCTGACCTGGTTTTAGACCTGGTTTAGACCTGGTTTGGATCTAGTTTGACCTGGTTTTAGACCTGGTTTAGTCCTGGTTTTAGTCCTGGTTTAGTCCTGGTTTAGACCTGGTTTGGATCTAGTTTGACCTGGTTTTAGACCTGGTTAAGTGTCTGGAAATGAGTGGAATTACGAAAAAAAAAAAAAAAAAAGGGATATAGCCCAAAATGTAAAAACAGGAAAATACCGCAGTGTAATCCATTTATTTCAACAAAGTAACTGTAATCCAATTACCACTCACTGAAACAGTAACTGTAACCGAATACAGTTACTCATAATTTGTGCTCTGATTACATAACTCTGGTACATGTAATCTGTTACTCCCCAACACTGAATAGTTTACCTTGTTAGGTGGAATTAGATCAAAGTGATCCCAAACCATGGATCACTTTTTTCCACTTGTAGATGCCATTGAAAATGAAACAAATGCCAAAAGTCGACAAAATCACCACTAACGTCACACAATACTCCTCACTACCCAACATTTTTAAGAAATATTGGTGCATCTTTTACACTGTAGCAGTTTAGCGCTCGTCAAACCACGGAAGTGCGCCGAACACTCTGAAGCATCTGAACCAATCGCAGAGCGGAACATTTGCAGAGCGAACATTTGCAGAGCGGAACATTTGCAGAGCGGAACATTCGCCGAGCCAATGAAACACTTCGATACACTGAAGCGACTGACACGCAGAGCGAAGCAGTCGGGGGATGGACCGACACTTCCACACTTGGTCACGTGAGCGGCTGCTGCGAGACGAGCTCCGAGGCAGTGCTCCGACTCATTTGCCCGTCAATAGTTTTAACAGTCGTTCTATTTATTAAATTTAAGTTGCATTCAAAGCTTTAAAAACAAACAATAAAATCTTAAAATCAACTCTAAAACGAACTGGAAGACAACGCAATGATGCTAAAATTGGGGTCATGTGCTCACGTTTTTTGGGTTCAGTTAAAAGTCGCACAGCAGAATTTTGGACCAACTGTTAGTGAGAAATCTGTCTGTGAGTGAGTTTGTGTGATTTAACTGGATTGAAAGACACAGCAGTCCGCAATGGTGAGAGTGTGTGTTTGTGTTTGAATGTAATTGTGTTTTTTTATTTGTATTTTTCAGATAACTTTGGATTCAAACAGGAGGAGAGGTTTGACTGTGGGTCTAAAGACGTCTATGGAAATCAGAGGAGGTTCCCACAGCCGCTGTTCTGGGACTTTAAGGTCAGTTTGGTTTGAAATAGTGTCATGAGAATAAAATGGAAGAAATAGACTCAATCCGTGTATCATTCGTTCATTTGTTTTTCAATATAAAACCAAAAATAAGAAAACGAAAAACAACAGTTTTCTTCATTATTTGTCTCGAAAATCAAAATGAAAAAACAAATCATTATCTGTTTTTTAATTTTGGTTTTCAATTTTGTGTTTAAATGAAAAATGGAAAAAACGTATTCCCGTTTACGTGACTTAAACTGTGACGCCGAACTGAACCAGGTCCGGGACCAGACCGGGACCAGGACTGAGACTGGGACTGGGACCAGGACTGAAACCAGGAACATTACCAAGACTGAGACCGGAACCAGACCAGGACTGAGACTGAGATCGAGTTTGGTCCTCGTTTGGTCCTCGTTTGGATCTGGTTCAGTCTTGTTTTAGTCCTGGTTCAGTCCTGGTTCAGTTCGACGTCACAGTTTAAGTCACGTAAACGTTATCTGTTTTTTTCCATTTTTCATTTAAACACAAAATCAAAAAGTGAAAAAAGAAATCGTTATCTGTTTTTTTTTCATTTTGGTTTTGGAGACAAATAATGAAGAAAACTGTTGTGTGTTTTTTTCTTATTTATAATTTTATTTTGAAAAACAAATGAACGGGAGGAGCTCGGAGTAGAGCCGCTGCTCCTCCACGTCGAGAGGAGCCAGTTGAGGCTCGGGCATCTGTTCTGGATGCCTCCTGACGCCTCCCTCGGGAGGTGTTCCAGGCATGTCCCACCGGGAGGAGGCCCCGGGGAAGACCCAGGACACACTGGAGGGACTATGTCTCTGGGCTGGCCTGGGAACGCCTCGGGGTTCCCCCGAAGGAGCTGGAGGACGTGTCTGGGGTGAAGGAAGTCTGGGAGTCCCTGCTTAGACTGCTGCCCCCGCGACCCGGCCCTGGATAAGCGGAAGAAAATGGATGGAACAAATGAACAAATGACACACAGATTAGATCTCAATACTGATTACTCTTTTTCAGACAATAGAATGTGATTTTCCACATTAAATCATAGAACTTTCTTTTCTATTCCCACATGGTTTTATATTTGTGTGATCCCTCAGTGCTCCGTGGGCGTCTACACTCGTCTATTTACTCTTATACTTGTTCTGATACAGCTCATAATTTTAATCAGTGTAATTATTCCATTTTCAAATTGTAAGTTTTATTTTATTTTTTTTCTCTCGTAGTTGAACCTGCTCGGAGAAAAGGACAAGTTGCCAATCCACTTCTGTGACAAATGCGGGCTGCCCATTCAGCTCTATGGACGGATGGTGAGTGTTTTCTGTCATTTTTGTTTAATATTTTTAAATGTAAGTCTCATATTTGGACCTGTCTCTCGTAGATCCCCTGTAAACATGTTTTCTGCTACGAGTGCGCCCTGCTCCACGAGAAGAAAGGAGACAAAATGTGCCCAGGGTAAGAGTCAACTCTGGATCGGCCAGTGGTGGATAAAGTTTTCAGTTTTGTTAAATAAAAGAACAGATACAGGGGCAAAAAATCTCACATTAAAAATAAATCTACTCAAGTAAAACCATAGAAGTACCTGTTTCAGTTTATAATTTAAGAGTAAAAAGTAAAAGGAATTTGGCATATATATTTTTGAACAATTAAAGCGTCAACTGTAGTGATTTTGATCAATAATTTAGCTGATTTTAAGTGATTCAGTTGATTTCTTAATTTTTCTAGCTGTTTTTCTATATTTGGTTTGCTCAAAGTTGGAACTTTAACTCAAATTAAATGAGCTAAAACATAAGTCTGAGCCATTTCAGTAGCTGTGAAATCATCACAAAACTTTTTACTTTCAGTCCGGATCTGAAATGTTATAGAGAAGAAAGTACAGATATCTGCTCTCAAATATAATGAAGTAAAAGTAAAAAGTATCCACTATAAAGTGTACATAAGTAAAGTTCAGATATCTAAAAATTGTACTTAAGTTTTTACTTTTGTAATTCATTTCCTTCCACCACTGGTATAGGCATTTTTTGTTCATTTTCTTAGTTACATTCGTCTGTACTCGTGCTCATTCAGTGTAGTTCATTAGTTCAGCAGAGTTTTCACAGCCCTGTGGAAACTGTTTCCAAGACCCCAGTGACCCTGACCCACTTCTGATGCATTGTATTAAATTCGTTATTGTTATTGTGATAATTTAAAGGTTCTATATTACACAAAATTGACTCGTGTGAGCTTTTAGTCATTGTTGCCTCCTCACAAACAGACACACATCTGCAATATTTTTTTGTCTTGCTCCCGCCTGCAAATCCCTCAAGATGGGGACATTTGCTTTCTTTCTCATGAAAGGTCTTTTCATTGACTCTTCGGAGCTCTATCAAACACGAGAAGCGGAAAGGATTTATCTAAAATGTGCTGGAGATTAGACCACATCCATAAGTTTAGGCTGCTTAAAATGTTTTTATCCATCCATTTTCTTCCACTTATCCGGGGTCGGGTCGCGGACGCAGCAGTCTAAGCAGGGACTCCCAGACTTCCTTCACCCCAGACACTTGCTCCAGCTCCTCTGGGCTGGCCCTCCAGTCTGTCCTGGGTCTTCCTTGGGGCTTCCTCCTGGTGGGACATGCCCAGAATATCCCCCCAGGGAGACGTTCAGGAGGCATCAGAACAGATGCCCTCCCCTCAGCTGCTCCTCTCGAAGCAGAGGCTCTACTCCGAGCTCCTCCCATGTGACTGAGCTCCTCACCCGATCTGTAAGGGAGCGCCCAGTCACCCTGCGAAGGAAACTCATTTTGGCTGCTTATATCTGTGATCTTGTCCTTTCGGTCATTTACTCAGAGCTCATGACCAGAGGCGAGGGAAGGAACGAAGATTGATGGCAAATCTAGAGCTTTGCTTTTCGACTCAACTCCTCTTCACCACAACGGTCCGATACAGCGACACTGCCGTCAATGATGCATGACAGGCAAACATTAATCATTTGTATATTTTACTTTACACACATATTTAGTTTGCAGGACTGCGGTTTATCATCCCACCCGCCCGCTCCTGCATTTTAAAGTCCCTCTCCCACTCGTGCCCGCAGTGAGCTTTTAAAATGTGTCCTGCGCTGCTCTGTTTTGCGTTGGGTCTCACAGGTCTCTGCAGGGCTCCACTCTAAAGCTCAAAATGCTCTGTTCCACCTTGTGATGTCATGGAGCATTAGCAATTTTATGGCTGGAATTATCCAAATGATTATAGTAAAGGTGTGTGGAGTCTAAAAACACAGTGGAGCACTTCTTGTATTATCACAGTTTGGGAAAAGAACTCGGCTTAAATGTGCAGGGTTTGTGTGTTAAACGTGTGAATGAAACAAAAAAAACAAACACAACTTCAGGTCTGTTTGTGATGAGGAAACATTAAAACTTAGGCTACGTTCAGACTGCAGGGCTTAACACTCAATTCTGAGCGTGCTCTGTGTTTATGGAAGTTGTCCAAACATGGACGCAGCATCGAGCACCTGGAGATTTTAAAGTTCCTCTCGTACCGGAGCCAGAACATGAACAACTTACTTGTTTTAAGGAGGAGATTGAGAAGGAGAAGGACGAGGTTTTTGGTCGTGGGGTTTTGTGGGACAGTCTGTTGAAAGGAACGTGTGGATGTGGAGACGGAGCCAAGAGTGGTGAGTGGAGATGTGCTTCACTTTAGTGACACGGAGTTCATTAACAATTTTTGCTGACTTCAGTGCAGAATAGTGATGTTTGTGTCTTGTTGATAACGTGTAGGTGGATGAATGCACTTTGACCGTTCAGACTGAAGTCACATGTCAAAAGATCAGATATGTATCGGTTTCAGGAGCACATATCCAAGTGTCCTGGGTCACATTTGAAAAAAATCAGATCTGTGTCGTTCAGACTGTGATTAAAAGATCAGATACATGAACATGGGGGCCAAAAAATCGGATTTGGGTCACTTCAGGCTGCAGTCTGAACGCAGCCTTAGATCAGATCAGCGTAATATGGAGAGTTTAAAGACTCTCCCTGGTGTAATTCTGTAACTCTCTCTCTCCTTCAGCCTGACGATGTTCAGCTGCTCAGACCCGGTGCAGAGGATCGAGCAGTGTCAGCGCGGCTCCCTGTGGATGTGCTCCGTGGTGCCTGGCTGTAAACGTACGTACCTCTCCGAGCGCGACCTCCAGGCCCACGTCAACCACCGCCACCTCCGCGCCGCCAAATCCTCCTCCTCCTCCAACCGGGGCAACCAGGACCCCATGCACCTGCCCCCGCCCGCCTCCGACCACCCGGACAGGTACCGCGTCCCGCCTCCTCACCTCCAGAAGAACCACCACATGCCCAACCTCCCGCACGGCCCTCACGACCCTTACAGCCAGCCGCCGCCCAACGCCCACGATCAGCCGCCGCCCAACTCCGGCCTGGGTCCCGAGACGTTCCGGATCGCGACCGTGACGACCCGGAAGCACAGCAATCTGATCACGGTGCCCATACAGGATGATTCCGGCGCGGGGAGGGATAGCATGCCCCCGGGTCCGGCTCAACCTCCGCACCACCACCCGGGAGACTACCCCACGCCGCCCGTCGTGTCCCACCCCCACCACCTCATGCCCCAGCAGCACTTCGGACCACCCCCGCCCCCGCCGCCGCCCATAAACCACCCGATGCAGCACCCGCAAGGCACCGGCACGCCCCACATGGTGTACAACCAAGCGCCCCCGCCCATGTCCAACGCCCCGCCGCCGATCACGCCTCCGCCCGGGCACATCCTGGGCCAAATGCCGCCCTACATGAACCACCCGCCGCCCCAGCACACGGGGCCGCCGCCGCCGGTGAACGCGCCGCCCCCTCACCACTACAACCCAAACTCCATGCAGCAGTTTTCCGAGGACCAGGGGACCCTCAGCCCGCCCTTTACCCAGCCGGGGGGGCTCAGTCCGGGGATGTGGCCAGCTCCCAGGGGCCCGCCTCCGCCGCCGCGTATGCAGGGACCGCCGCCGCCGCAGGGGCAGATGCCGGGGCCCCACCACCCAGACCAGGGCAGATACAGACCCTATTATCAGTAGAAAGAGTTCCATGTTGTTTTAGTTGTAACAAGCAGGAGCAGAGTGCATTTTGGTAAGGCACTTCCAGTTGTCAAAAATAGTCAACAGATTTTCTTTTTTTTTGGGGGGTGAAATAGTCATATCGTGACTCAGAAATTTGTAGCTTAAAGGTGCTGTACCTGATTTTTACGGTCTTAAAAATGTGAAAAACAGGACTAGTTCATTTTAAACTGTTCTTCCTCACTTACCTTACACGTTCAGAGCGTCCTAACTATTCACCACGATGAGTTTATAAGCGCTCACAACTTTCAGAGACCATGGTAATGCTTACAGCTAGTATGCTAATGGTGCACTTCCTTGTTATCAGACAATAAAATGCTTTATAATTAACTGCAGACAATACACAGTGGATTTATTTTGACCTCAACAGCTGCTTATACAATATATGAGACACATTAAGCTCAAATACACACGGAAGAATCTCGTACAAGTCTTTTAATGTTTAAAAACAGACACACACCCTCTCCTCCTATTGGTCAGCCTTAGTCATGCTGTGGTTGAGTGACAGCTGGATTTAGCCAATCGCAGTGAAGCAGCAAGTGTTTTTGTAACTTTAAGATCAGTGGCTCCATTCACGTTTACGTCACAAACCAGGAAGACTTTTGGAAACTAATGTGTCTGACTCACAGCGAGGACTTGTTCACAAAAATACACTTGAATAAACCATTGTTGAACCAAATACAACCAAAGTATTAAATAAAATTATTAAGTCTCTGTAACAAAATTGCCCTTAAAAGTTATTTTAGTCATTGACTTACATTGGAATATTGTGTCTCGTCTCTCTGTGGCTGCTGCTGTGAGCCTCGGCATTTTGGTCATGTAAATGTCGTACACTGGACCCTATTTCGTTCTGTCGTAAAGTAATCGAGCTCGTTAAAAGTTATCGTACGATTAATTGATTTGTTGATTATCGTTACAGGCCTATATACAGTCTATATTATACCTGCAGATGTATAATCTCTGAAAAGTTTCACATGAACCATCTCCAACGCGACAAACGCAGAACAGACTCACCATCAGCAGAAAATCCCTCTGAGCCATGCGGTTTTAAGTTTAATGTCTGTAAAGCTTAAACAAAAATGCTCATAGCTGTGTGGATAGGGAAGGCTTTCGGACACAGAAATAACGTGTCTGGACTAGGGATGGGCATTCGATGAAATTTTCTTAATCGATCGACGGAAGAATTAACGATCCAATTATCGATTAATCATTAACGTTTTTATATTAAAATGATCATCATTATTATTACTATCTGCACTAATCTGCATAAATAAATTCAACTTTACGACAGACAAACCGGAACGACTCTAGAGCCACATCAGCCCGTTTGACATTATAATGTGTTTAATTCAGTTTTGTGCAACTCTCACAGAAACAAAACTTAAAATCACATCACTAATTTGCATAAACTAAGCGAAGATTAAAAAAACAGCTCTTGTGTCGCTGATGTGGTTCAACTTGTGTTGGATTAAAGGACATGACTCAGGTGAATACAGGTTAGTGTGACCAGATTTGTGTTTGTCAAAACCAGGACAGCGTACGGGGGGAGGGGGGCGGGGCCTCGTCATCGACATTGAGCGACTCTCACCTGGTAAAACTTTTTCCCACTGGACACAGAAACATATGTGCTGCTTTATACACTGTGCACATGGACTCACACTTGTCCCAAACGCAACAGAAAGTGTGGAATTTCTTGTACAAATCATCGTTAAATCCACATTTGTGCTTCGGTACGTTGCAGGCGGACTGACTTTTTCTGTTTGTGTTTCTGTTTCTGTTTGTGTCTCCATCTGAGGTCAGAGAGACACATGTACAGACCTGTTTGGTCACACTACACACAGCAACCTACATTCAGTTTGTCGTAATCGATGAAATTCTTAATGATCAATTATCGATTAATCGACTAATCATGCCCATCCCTAGTCTGGACACAAATCATTTCTGATACAGTGAGTCGTTTCAGTTTAAACATAACTTACGAAAAATGAGAAAGTGTCCCAGTTTTCTCAATCTCCATGTCATTGTAGTGTTCCGTTATGTTCGGCTGATCGACAATTCCAACCATACCTAAGTTTTCATCAGTTTTTATCATTTCCCCACATCTCCGAGCGCGCTGGGTAGAGACGAGGGCGCCAAATTCCAGATGATTCCAAACAGCACAAACGTCTGCAGTTTTCCTTTTACCGCTGATCACATTTACTTCAGTGGGTTTGATCACAGTCGGTCGGGAACTACACCGGAAGTCGTCATCGCGTGTTTCCAATAGTCTTCCTGTGACGTAAGCCTGAACAGAGTCTGTATGAAGTCCAAACGATTCATGGTCAAATCAAAAGTCTGATCTACGCTTTAAGAACTAGTTATATTTTTTGGCATTAACCCGTTTTTTCCCAATATACAAAGAAGCCTTAACCAACTGTCTGTTCTTTTCATGTGATTTTTGACAATGTAATATTTGCTGGTAACAACTAAAAACGTCAAATTGTGTCTGAATTTGTATCATTTAGGTTAAAGTATGAAGAATAGGAAATCAAAACTTCCACTCAACCAGTTAGAATTGAATGTATTCCTTTCGAAAGCCCCATAACCAACACAACCATCATAAACGGCAACAGACTGAAGCTTAAAATATTCTCCCTGCTTTTTTATGATCGCAATTCATTATTAGAACTACTACCTACCGCTCGTGATTCAAAATGCAGATGTTTTTTACCTGGTTTATGGTTAATGTTTCTTTAATTGCTGTGCCTAATTACTTAAAACAAACTGATGTACTTTTAAAAAAAAAATCTTCTGTCAAAACCAGACTCAAGTTTTAACGGTGCCTTGGTTTGACTTTTGACTCGGTTTGGTCCCGTTCTAGTCTTGGTTTAGTCCCAGTTTAGTCGTAATTTTGATGTGGTATGTGTGAGAATCCATATATTTCTGTTAACAATCTCTTATTTATCATCTTATACTTTAAGTTTCCCCTTTCAGAATTAAGTAAACTTGAACCAGGTTTGCAAAACGTACAGATGAACCAAATTTAAAGAGGGGGTATTATGCTAAAGTGACTTTTTGGAGCTGTTATAATGTTGTTTCCTCGTCAAAAAACACGCCTACAGAGGTTTTAGAGTCATCCGTGCATGTTTGAGTAATCTAGTGATCTCTCCCGTGCCCTACTTATACAAAAATATACCGTATTTTCCGCATTATTGGGAGCAGTCTTAAGCCTCCAACCCCATCAAAAAATGACGCGCACCACAATCCAGAGCGCCCTATACACGAATTCACTCGGGTGTCCCAGTACGACTTCAGTAAACTACAAAGCCGCACCAACCGCAGAACACACAAACACACACGGAGCAGACAGCGACCGCACAGAGAAACACACACACAGACACACTCATCACTCCACGCCGACGAGGAACGGAACGGAGGAACGAACCAAAAAAGCAAGTGCAACGTGCTTCTAGACACGACTGAACAACTGAGTCACTGTGAACACGCCGACAATCCGTTGGTCCCAGACAGCACCCTCCCTACACGCCACAACTGAACAAAGCCCAGAGTCACCGTGAACGTCACAAACAAACAAAACCACTCACCCATCACACTGTTGTGTTTCCTTTAAAATCCCATGCGGTTTATTTGTGAAAAAAGTTCCAAAATAGACCATTTAATGACAGTGCGTCTTACAATCCAGAGCGACTAATAGTGCGGAAAATACGGTAAACGAAATTGTACACTACGACTTGACAATAGTGTTGTGATGTGCAATAGTTTCATGAGCGGGTGCACTCCGACTGTAGCCTAATTCATCACTTCGTAGAAACCATCTGATCTCGCAGCATTAGGATTTGTTCACTCGACAGTAGGCGGGTACTTTTTTTTATTTAACCAATCGCTGCTGTTTGGTCGTGACGTATGTAATGCTTCAAATCTCATAGGAAGAAGGACAATAACGTCTTTCGCTGATTGGCTGGTGCCCGAACTCACACTTCGGGGGTTTTTGTGAACCGTCTAGTGCAGGGGTGGACAAACTGCGGCCCTTTAATCTTTGTAATCTGGCCTGCTGAACTTTAATAATAATAATAAAAAAAGTAATTTCAATAAATCGTAAATACCATGAGACTAGAAAAACAGATATTTTGTTGTAATGCTTTGTGATGATTTTCAATTATGGGATATTTCAATAATATGGGATATATTTTCTACATATCCCATGTTATTTTTTTTTTCTTTTTTGAGGTGGATTACCAAAAAACTCCATCCATCTGCTCCTGGTCCAGCTCTTTCGTCAAATTTCAGATCCCTTTGTGGCCCACGAGTCAAAGTTTGCCCACCTCTGGTCTAGTCTAGTGTATTCTGATTCCTGACCTAGTCGCTGGAGAGAAATTAAATCGAGCGGAGACACTAGGAGGACACTGATTATGTTGTGATGGTGCTCTGAAGGGGCAGTGACTTGGCGCGGGAGGAGCAAAGGAAGGGGCGACTTGGAGCATCAAAAACAAAATTGAATCTTGCATTGTTTTCAGCGTCTACGGCATTTTCAAAACAATAAAAGATACCGCGGTGATCTAAATAGAAAAGTAAAATACCCCCGCTTTAACTTTTCCAACAAAACAGCTCACAATCTGTTTATATATTTTTAACTTTTAATTTCTTACGTTTAGTCAGTTCTTTTTATTCAGACCAATTCCTAATACTGCTCTGCTTCTCTTACAACCCTGATAAACCAGTGTACCTGTTCAAATTGTTCGTTTGAGTTGCCGCTGTCTCACCTGTGCCGTACCAAACTGTACCAAACTGTACCAAACTGTACCGTGACGCTTGTTATGAACGGGCCTGTACATTTATTTACCTGAACACATAAGTGAGTGGTGCACATTTAGTTCAGACTTAAAATAAGAAATGACTTTTAAATGTGTGATATCTGTAAATACGACTGACTTCATGTACATTAAAAAACTGAAACATGTCAATAAATTTTTAACTGGCCTCTCGTCGTCTTATTACAGCTCGTGAGGAGGATTTTTGTGGAAGTTCAGAACGTGACTATGACACTATGACACTCACAAAGTCACAATTTAGCCATGCTGAGAATTTACTTTGCACAGTTATTCCGTGTTGTTTTTGTTTGTCTATGGTTAACTAAAAAAAAAAAAAAACATTATGAAAAACAAACATTTCACATTGTTTTTTTCATACTTTTTTCAACTAAATCCAATCTATACAGGGTTCCCACGGTCATAGAAATCCTGTAATCTGCTGTTAGGATCCAACAACCACACAATTACGATGTCCAAATCCCAAAACTAAAATATAACAATATCAGAACCAGAAACAAAATGTGATATGGTTCAAAAGACTTGAAAAGATCGACTTTGTCAATAGACACATCCCACTGGGAAAACAAACATGGAGGTTTGATGCTCACTTTTTCGGAAAATCCTTCCCAGTATGGATTGCGCAATGACCGGAAGTCCGAGATTCTTGATGCGTGTATTGAGGACCAACTAAAGCTACACACTAATTAATTAACTAAACCAATAACTTAATCAAAGTAACAAAAAGGCAAATAATTATAATACAGAAAATAATCAGTGATAATAAAGTGACCTTAAAGCAAACTAAACAAACTACCTTAGTAAAACTAACTAAATAGTGCTCCCCCCCTTTGCTGAGTCCTGATGGTCTCTCCCAGGGTCCTCCGTCCAGCGCTCAAAAAAAAACTAAAGGAACAAGTGTAAGTAAATTAGACTTATAATAACTAAAATGTGTGCACTCAAATTAGAATATAAGTCTCAATAAAGGAATTAAATTATGTGTAATGTAATTAATTAGTGAAATTAAATAATACTGACACTATGGAGTGGTGGCAGAGGTATCCACCACAGTCATTCAGAGACAATTTCAAACCTTCTCTCACCTCTGATTAACAAAGTGAAAGACGCTCACAGTTTCTGAGCGTGTATTTATTTGTTTTATTTCTAAAGCGCCTCCATATGTAAGTGAGACATAAGACAAGACAAGCATGTACAACTGGTCTAAAATAAAAGGAAGAAAACACAGGTAGACTTGATTTGCTCTTTTCCTTTATTTCTTTTCTTTTCTTTTTTTTCTTTTTTTACCACAGCCTCCATGAAAAGAATAATCCTCTGTTGTGAGTTGCTAACAAGAGTCACTCCTCAGAAAGTAGAATTTAAAAAACAAAATACAACTTCATGTACGTCTCTGATTAGGGAACTGCAGTGAAGCAGGACTAAAAGCTCAAAGTTAAAAACAATATAATCAAAAATAAGATGGACAAACTTCAACAAAAACCTCCTTGTAAAAAAAAAAAAAAAAAAAGAGATTAAAAAATTACAAGCTTAAAAATTATGTTTATTTTTGACACCACACAGAACTCAACTCCACAGTCTGGAGTCTCTGAAGCCTGATCTCCAGCTTTTTGAGTCTGACTTTAGATTCACATGATCCGGCCTCAGCAGCTCTTTCTCCTTTAGTGTGTCCAAGACGGTGCAGCTTCAGATGAGCAGCTTGTCTCAAAGTCGTCCCACACTGGTCAGAGCTGCAGCTTTTCTCTTCAGTCTGGAACATTTGGACATGTTTCAGTCGGTTCCTCGCAGACCTGAAAACCTTCCCCTTTTGTTCACAGTCGTCTGATTCGTCTCCTGTGTGCGTTCTGTAGTGAGTGGAGAGCTCCTGGGATGTTCTAAAAGGATTTTCACACTGGTCACACTCATATAGTCTGTGTCTGAAGTGAATTCTCATGTGTTTATTGAGATTGGATGATGTAGAGAAAGCTTTCCCACACTGGTCACACTCGTATGGTCTCTCTCCAGTGTGAACTCTCATATGTGATACAAGCTTGCTTGACTGTGAAAATGTCTCGTCACAAACATCACATGTGTATGGTCTCTCTCCAGTGTGGACTCTCATATGTGATACAAGGTTGCTTGACTCTGAAAATGTCTTTTCACAAACATCACATGTGTATGATTTTTCCCCTGTGTGGATTCTCATGTGTGTTTTGAGACTGGATAATTGAGAGAAAGCTTTCCCACAATAGTCACACTCGTATGGCCTCTCTCCAGTGTGAACTCTCATATGTGATACAAGGTTGTCCGACCGTGAAAATGTCTTGTCACAAACTTCACATGTGTATGGTCTCTCTCCAGTGTGGACTCTCATATGTGATACAAGGTGGCTTGATACTGAAAATGTCTTGTCACAAACTTCACATCTGTATGGTCTCTCTCCAGTGTGGACTCTCATATGTGATACAAGGCTGCTTGATACTGAAAATGTTTTGTCACAAACATCACATCTGTATGGTCTCTCTCCAGTGTGGACTCTCATATGTGATACAAGGCTGCTTGATACTGAAAATGTATTGTCACAAACATCACATCTGTATGATTTCTCCCCTGAGTGGATTGTCATATGTGCTTTGAGTGCACCAGACTGTCTAAATTTCTTCCCACACTGGTCACACTCATATGGTCTCTCTCCAGTGTGGAACTCTCATATGTGATACAAGGCTGCTTGATACTGAAAATGTCTTTTCACAAACATTACATCTGTATGATTTTATCCCTGTGTGGATTCTCATGTGTTTATTGAGATTGGATGATGTAGAGAAAGCTTTCCCACACTGGTCACACTCATATGGTCTCTCTCCAGTGTGGACTCTCATATGTGATACAAGGCTGCTTGATACTGAAAATGTCTTTTCACAAACTTCACATTTGTATGGTCTCTCTCGTGTGTGGATTCTCATATGTGCTCTGAGTGAACAAGACTGTGTAAATTCATTCCCACACTGATCACAGCTGTATGGTCTTTCTCCTGTGTGGATTCTGTAGTGTATTTTCAGTCCGGAAGCATTTGCACACACCTTTCCACACTGGTCACATGTGAACTCCATTGTGTTGGTGGATCTTGTAGCTCTGCATTAGAACAAAGGAAAGTGTCAAGTGAAATAACAAAATACACATAAAATACACACACTGATTCATATGTAAGAATGTGTCAGTGTGTGTTCTATAGGGTTGGGCGATATCCAGATGTTGATACCATTAAAACTTCTCAGGATTTTACTGGGTTATATGGTTTTACCATATTACCAAAATGTTTTAGTATGACTTTGGTAAACTACGAAACTGCACCGCTGTACGGACTGTGTGTACGACCTGCAGACTTATAATCTCTAAAAAGTTACACATGAACCATCTTCAACACGACACACACGCAGAACAGATTCAACATCTGCAGCTCATCTTCTGTCACAGAAAGAACACTCATATTCCACTGAGTCGTGTCCTTTAGTCCGACAGAAGCTGAACCACATCAGCGACACAAGAAAATAACTGTTTTTATCAGCTCTTATAGTTTATGCAAATGAGTCATGTGGTTTTAAGTTTTGTTTCTGTAAAACATAAACAAATGTGGCCTGAAGCCAAAATGCTTCCAAATTGCAGAAGTATTAGTACTTTTTTGGGGGAGGACCAACTGTCTTGTGGCTGGACTTGTCGTCTTGTCTTGGTCGTCCCTCATGAGCGTCACATGACAATGAAACGAAACTAATCGAACGTCGTCTCCCCACACAGTTAAAAGAAACATTTTAGACACTATTAGTTTTAAATCGTGAAACATTAAGCATTCATTTGTGCTGAGCAAACACATTTAGGTATCAATAAATTATAATATTATATTAGGTCTTTATGTGCTGCAGATTTTTTTTATGACGGTAATGAAACTGATCCCTTTGCTACTTTTTGATACTGCCTGTTACCGTAATACTGTATTACCGCCCAACCCTAGTGTTCTACAAGTAAGTTACGTTAAGTTGCATGAATCATTTAAGATGAGTGAGAAATGGAAAGACTATCGCACACTACAGTGGAGTAACATTAACATAATAACGATGAACAGAACAGTCACACAGAGTTCATTCAGGCTTCCTGAGGTGATGAGACACAGAGGTGACCACAGATGTGTTCTAACTTGTGTCCTGCTCAGTGAGGTGCACAGACATTTCGGGGGGCAGGTGCTCAGTGAAAAATAAGGACACTTTGTGGTCATGTGGAACTGTCGGCTGCCTTATTATAGTGTGTAATAGTGTAAAAAAAAACGCCCTAGACGCCTCTATTTGGACGCCTTTGCATTGGAGTTCAGAAGCCCCGGTGTCTTGGACGCCGTGGACGAACGGGAGAAAAATACTTGACACGCGTCTGTTGCCCCGGATACAAGTGTCCAGTCCTGGTCTTTTCCCTTAACGATGGACCAGACTGAGAGAAACTTTAGTGTTTTTATTACATGAAACCATCAGCAGAGGAGATCAACTTGGCGACTGCGGCATTTTTATATTTATACTCCACTAATGACACTGGATCAGTCCTGGTCCAATCCTGGTCCAGTCCTGGTCTACTCTTGGTCAGGTCGTGGTCTAGTCTTGGTCTGGTCCTGGTCTAGTCTTGGTCTGGTCCTGGTCTAGTCTTGGTCTGGTCCTGGTCTAGTCTTGGTCTGGTCCTGGTGTAGATACTAATATCTCCAAAACTAAGGCAGCACAAACAAAACTTTTTGCAGCACAAATGAAGCACAAATGATTGACATAGTTTTTGTGTGTGGGGAGGGGGAGCAGCATCGGGGCTTTATGATCACACACTTTTAATCATCCAGCATTTCTAGATGATGATGTCAACATGGACCACAGTACACTGTGAAAAAAAATAAAAATAAAAAAACTAACTTTCAAAAGGACACTTTTTGTACAGAGGGCAAAGGGGCAGGTGATTTAGCAGCACCTGGTGTCTGTCTGTGCACGACACTGGTCTATGACAAGCCAAACTGTTCACATTTACACCTGTTTTTAACATGTTAACAACTTGTTTGACGTGTCGAATTGTTATTTCACGAATAAGATTAATAATTATACATATGATAATGATCCTCCCATTGATTTTCTCAGTCAGTGAATTTAAAGTGTTTTCAGCCAATCACTGACAAAGACAAAGAGTCCAGAACAACAACACTGATGTCCCTGTGCACATTCTGTTCTCTTACAAAATAAACCTTACACTGTGTCAATTGTCGTTTATCAAATTTAAAACAGTCTCATCCACCTCAACATATTTATATTTTCAGTATCATTCGATCATTAAACAACTGATTATTTAACTGTCCGTAGTGGGACAATGAAAACCTCTACAGACTCCAGTGCAGTGAGACAGAGCAGATCTGGTCCTTTCCATGCACCACTGAAACAATCATGACTAAAGGAGCGTTTGTAAAATCAGGAGTGCAGGTTGTATCTTCTACAACTTGTAGTTTGATCTTGTCCCAGTCTGTGGAGGCTCCTGTACTTGGCTGTGGTCTGCAGGTGGAGCAGCTCCAGTAAAAGGGACATTAGAGTAAAGAATGTGCAGAGGGAGATCGGTGTTGGATTATTCTGGACTCTTTTCACTGACTGGGAAAATCAGTGGGAGGAGATCATTATCATATGTAGAATCATTTGACACGTCAAATAACAACTTACGACGACAAATTAAATAATCTTATAATACACATCAAAAAAGGTGTTAACGTGTTAAAAATGGGTGTAAATGTGAACAGTTTGGCTTGCCATACTGGTCCTGGTAAAGACCTACAGCATCACAAAACTAATAATTATCCACAGCCCTGAACGTGAGATGATGTTTTTGTGGCCAAATTAAATCGCCCTGAACTTTTCCCCCACAAAACGTCCCACAGTTGAAATTGAGGTAAAATACCAGGGCCAAATTTTGTTCCCAGTCCGACCCTGGATATACTTACAAAAGTAGAGGTAGAAAGTTCTTGAAGTCCTTTGGAAGAATTCTTCTCTTTGTTGTTACCGTTTGATTTTAACCATGTTAATTCACCATGCAAATACAGACGTTGTTCACTCAGTGTCCCTTGACGTGTTGAAAAACGTGTTGTCAAAGTCCGATCATTCACCTTTGCTCACATAAGAGAGGTTAATGTTTGACTTTGAGAAGCCGACTAGGCAGCAGGGACGTGTTTGAACTCAGGTCACATGTACCAGGCCTGGGGGCCAAATTTGATCCATGACATAATTATATTTGGCCCGTGAGTTCATATCAAATCTGTATCAGAGCTGCTACAGATCGACTATAGAGACATTATTTATTTAAAATTGGTGTTATTTTATATTCAACTTGTTCTGGATTCACTGTTTATGCAAAACTATTATTAAACATTTATTTAATAAGAAAAGGTTTAACATTACAGATCTCGAAAGAAGAGAAAACATGCAGATGTTTTCATTTTTCAATAAATATTTAGTTTGGCCCACGACTTTGTCCCTCTGTGAATTTGAGTTTGACCCCCCTGATCTATGTTATATTACATTTGTTGTAGTATATATATATATATAATAGTATATATATTATAGTATATATATTATAGTACGTATGTTATAGTATATATGTTATATGTTATCAGGGCGGAAGTAGCTCAGGAGTGTTTGTCCACTGATCCGAAGGTTGATGGTTCGAATCCCGCTCTCGACATAAACATCATTGGTGGAGTGAACCGCTGTGTTGTGTATTTTGCTCAGAAGATCACCAAACCAGCCCGTGTCCGCGGGGTTGCTGGGGGTGCTGTAACACCCCCTAGTGGCGAGGGGGAGATTTTTTTCTTTTTAAATTCTTAAATTGTCAGACACTGTGTTCTTATATTGTTTTACATTATTAATTAGACTACATTAAAGTGTATATGTCAATAAAATGTTGAATTTCAATCTATTTATTTATATTTAAAACAGATTTTAAATAGGCCTATAGGCTAAGGTTTAAAAAAAACAAATTTTTTTCACAACAGCACATGTTAAAAATGACTTCCATCGATCCTGGTCTTTTGATGTTAGTAAAAATATCATCATAACCTTTTATTATGCTTTTATCGACAACATTCTGTCCTTTTCATGCATGTGTTGGTTTTACACTGTCAGTGTTCAAAACACGTGAAGCCAGAACGTTAAATCTCCATATCAACAGCCTAAACTATTATTTATACTTCTATTCCACAAATACCACGTGAGAGTAAAGAGAAACTTTTACAACATGACAAAAGTTTTATTTATTTTCAGTCTCATAAAATGAACTCAATTTAATATATTGCACATGATTCTTCTACAAAATCTCTATAAAAACATATCTAAAAAAATCTTCTTACATTCTCCATGAAACTCTACGGACGTTATAACAAGTCAATAATAATAATAAAAAAAATATATGTACAGTTTTGTAGTAGTTTGTTCAGAAGCGAGTTTCAGGCTCCATTCCCTGTGAAGACAAAGAGAGAGTTTTTTACTACTGTTTGTCTGTGAAACATTAAACGTGTCATGATGTAGCCACAGCTGCCCTGGGGCAAACAGCTGGAAGAGTGGCTGTTAACGTATTTTTCAGACTAAGTCGCACTTTTTTTTCATGGTTTGGGTGTTTCCTGTGACTTATATATTAAAATGTTTCAGTGAAGTGTGGAGAGGTTCTAGTCTTGTGTGTGAGTATCTGCTGCTCCTGTTCCTCCTGTACCACTGTCACTTGGCTCTACTGCGCATGTCTCCAGCAGAAAGAGCCTCTGTCCTGTCTGTATCATGTCAGTCGATCGCACCATTACTTCTGCACCACTGAACAATTGTAACATTTAAACAAACTTATAAAGACGACTGAGAAGACTGAACACAAATGCCCCTAAAAAGTAAATCAGATTTTGCAGATTACAAACTGCAAGTCGTGAAATCTGCAGCTGAAAACGATAATCGAACAGCAGAAAGAAAGTTTGGAGTGAGAGAGAAACTTATGAGGCACAGGTGGAAAGCGGGGATAGAGAAGACGGCAAACAGGAGGATGCACCATGAAACTTTCCTGAAGTCACTGGATGGATGGACAAAGCCTGGACTTCAGTGACACCGAAACCATCCTGTCGAGATTCAGAAAAAAACGAATAATTCTAACTGGAACTGATGCTGAGTCTGACGACAGCGACACAAGAGGAAGTGACGTGCGCTCTGTTTACCTCCGGAGGTCGAGGTCGAGTTGTTCAGAAGTGACACCGAGGATGAAGAATTTAATGGATTTAGTGATTTGGAGTGAGATGGAGAGTTTGTTAAACTTGTTCTGTTCTATTGTTTATGTTATAGTTTATCTGAAGAACTGTTCATATGTGACGTTAACAGTCTGTTGTTCTCTCTTCTATTGTTTTTACTACAACTTGACTTTACACAGGAAATGTCAGTTCCTGGTCTCTGATTTTATAAAATACATTTCCCCTTAAAAGTGCGACTTATATTCCTGTGCGACTTATTGTCCAAAAAATACAGTAAGTCGTCCTGGTAGCAGAACTTCCAGAGCAAATAAACCAGAGCGACAGTTTTCCGACTGGTGTTAGTTGAAATAAATTTTAAATGAAATACTGGAAATAGAGAAATCTTGTTTGACACTAAAATGGAACAATGAAACAACAAACTGTTTTCCGATTTTATTGTTTTTTGTTCTTAATTGAAATTCAAAAGAACTAATAGTACACGGACCCACTAGAGCAGAGCATTTTTATTTATTTTTTACCAATAGGAAAACTTGTAGAATGAAGTACAGAGCGGTGGACGTACTGGGGGCGGTGAAAACGGGGGTAGATTGGCAACATAGCGTTTTAAAAATTAGTTGCAGGAATCACTCCAAATACAACTTCAAGAGGGTAAAAGAAGGAAACAACAATAACATAGTTAAAAGCTCTGAAAAGTCCATTTTGCGTCATAGATCAGCTTTAACAACCAAGTAAAAGTAATAATATTGAACCACGCACCGTTTTGAGTCCCTTCAGAGCGGAGACGTCGAGGAAGGACACAGTGGCAAAGTCCAGGACCAGGCTGTGCAGATCCACCGGGGGCACGTTCACGTTGACGGGCAGCTCCCCTCTCCAGTCCACCTGAATGGGCAGGTCCTT